TCATGGTCATGTTTCAGCTATACCTGAAACCCTTCTGTAGATTTCTCTGTTTTTTAAATAAGAATTCAACTTACCATCATGGCTTACAAAAGCTATCTGACTTTTGCCTACTTCTTCAGTCTCACCTCTTGCTCACATCACTTCAATTACATTGATCTCCCTCATAGTAAACTCATTGTAATCTCAGTCCTCTCCTCCCTATATACACAATTGTCAACTCTTTACATAAATGATTCCTTATCCTTTAGACATCTGCTTAAATATTTCTTCCCCAAATAGGCCTTCCTTTACCCCAATCTGTAATAGGTCCTCCATTATTCATTATTCTTGTTCCTTGTCTGTGGCCCATATAGGCCTAATCACAAACCCTAATTGTTTTATTAGTCTGCTTACTCTATTTAGTGTGACTCCCTGCTAGACTATAAATTCCAATATGAAAGCCACTGTGTCTCTCATTATTAGTGGGTATTTGCCTTTTTTTATTGTCCAATCTGGCATAAAACACCCTTTTGCCTTCACTGAATTGACTTCACCCATTGCCTTCTCAGTGTGCAAGCACGATAAATTCACCATGTACTTTCTCATAGATTCTCTTCTCTTGCTGTCCTATACATAGCCAAGAGGCAGGTACAGGACTTAATCTCAACCAATATCACTGACTCTTGAAAGACATGATATTAGTGGAGTGGCTCTAGTGGTAGAGCGCCTGCCTTGCAAGCACAAGGCCTTGAGTTCAAACCCCAGTGCCACCAAAAAAAAAAAAAAAAAAAGAATTAATAGGTAATAGTTTTTAGCTGGGCACCAGTGGCTCATGCCTGTAATCCTAGCTACTCAGGAGGCAGAGATCAGGAGGATCGTGGTTCAAAGCCAGGTCAGGCAAATAGTTTGTGAGACCCTACTCAAGGTGTAGGCCCTGAGTTCAAACCCCCAGTACTGCCAAAAAAGAAAGAAAGAAAGAAAGACATGATGCAGTGTGATTAAAAGCTAGTTGAAGTTTACTCATTCTAGCAGTGGAATACTTAACCTGATAGGTAGGTGGTTCTGCTAATCAGGGTCTGTGCTGTTGCCGACCTGAGTCCCATTTCAAGTCTGGTTCCCTATCCTACTCTTTGATTCTGTGAGTTTCCTAACAGCATTCTAATTAAATTCCTTTGTGTTAAAGATAGTTGGAACCAGTTTGCTATTTGGAATTCAGGGACTAAACTGGATAGATCGTATCTCCACAGTCTAGCACAGGATCTGGCAAGGATAGGTGTCAAGTAAGGTGTGTATGGCTTAAAGCTGTTTACTTAATGTTCTAGGTCGTTGGTTTCTACCTCTCTAGGTAACCCACCTATTATGTGGGTTGGTTTCTTAGCTTGCTTAATCCCTCCTTTATATTCTCTACCCTTCCTCCTCAACAACAACAAAATAACCCAACCCAACTCAACCCAACCCAAATTCCTCTCATTTTCTCAGGCACAGCAGCTCAATCACAGATGACTTTACACACAGATCCTAGTTCCGCCACCTGCCATATGACCTTAGACAAATTACTAAGCCTCTTTGTGTCTCAGTTTCCTCATGTGCATGTGGTGGTGGGGAAATAATAGTACTTGTAATAGTGCATATAAACGTAAAGCATCCAATTACGATTCTCACCTTTTTTGTTAAGTAAGCTACTGGATAACTAACTCTTCAGGGTTGTTTTGTTCAAGGTATAACTTCTGAGTCAACATCAGAACTACCTGGATAGAGAAAGAATGCAGGTTCCTAGAAATAGTGAGTCACAGTTTCTAAGACAGAACTAGGAAGTTTACATTTAAAAAATACCATCTCCTGAGTGATTCTGATACACCGTTTTTAAAAAAGATATTGAGATACAATACGCATGTCATAAAATACACTCATTTGAGGCATATAATCTGGTGGTTTTTTAATAGAAAGATTAGTATAAGCATTGCCACAGTCTACTTTTAGAACATTTTCATCACTTGAAAAAGAAACTTTGAGCCAGGTGCCAGTGCCTCACACCTATAAACCTAGCTACTGAAGAGGCAGGGATCAGGAAGACCAAGGTTCGAAGCCAGCCAGGGCAATTGAATTCGTGAGACCCTATCTCAAAAATACCTAATACAAAAAAGGGCTGATGGAGTGGCTGAAGGTGTAGGCCCTGAGTTTAAGCCCAGGTACTGCAAACAAAAAAAAAAAAAAGAAAGAAAGAAAGAAAAAAGAAATTCATACCCATTAGCATTCATTTCCCATTTCCTACTTTCCTAACCACTCCCAGCTGAAGCAACCACCAATCTACTTTCTGCTTTTGTAGGATCTATCTATTCTGGATATTTTACATAAATAGAATTATATAACATACAATCTTTTGTGGCTGGTTTATTTCACCTAGTATAAGGTTTTTCTCTTTTTCTTTTCTTTTTTTTTTTTCCTGTGGTACTGGAGTTTGAACTTAGGGTCTACACTTTGAGCCACTCCACCAGCTCTTTTTTGTGTTAAGTATTTTGAGAACTATTTGCCCTGGCGGATTTTGAACAGCGATCCTTATTGCAATTTGCATTTCCCTAATAACTAATAATGTGCTCGTTGGCCATTTGTGCATCTTCTTTGCTGATAATCTATTCAAATCCTTTTGCTCATTTAGGTATTCGTCTTTTATTACTGTCTTTTTATATTTGTGTTGTAAGAATTCTTTATATATTTTGAATAATTCCTTATACATGATTTGCTGATATTTTCTCCCATTACATAGGTTATCTTTTTTGCCCCAATAGTAGAGAAATTTGGTATCTTTTATTTCTTGGTGGTATCCATTGGAACACAAAAACTTTTAATGTTGATGAGGTCCAATTTATTTATTTCTCCTTTTGTTGCTTGTGCATTTGGTGTTGTAGCTAAGAAACCATTGCTTCACTCTGGGTCATATTTACTTCTGTTTTCTTCTAGCAGTTTTATAGTTTTAAATTGTATTTCAGTCTCCTTTAAAAAAAAAGATTGAGATACAATATACTCATGTTTGAGAACTACTTTTTTTTTTAAACTCAGGGCCTACACCTTGAGCAACTCCACCAGCCCTTTTTTTTTGTGATGGGTTTTTTTGAGAGAGGGTCCCTTTCGAACTGTTTGCCCAGGCTGGTTTCAAATCATGATCCTCCTGATCTCTGCCTCCTGAGTAGCTAGGATTACAGGTGTGAGCCACTGGTACTCGGCTAGAACCACTGGATGATGTAAATAATACAACAGCTATCTAATGTATATTGAACACTGAGTATGTACTAAACAATTTACATTGCACAATCCTGCTCTGTCTTCACAAGGATGATGTTACAATCACCCCCACTCTTCATGATACAATACATGTATCTTCTCCTTTTATGTAAAAGGAGATACCAACATCTTTAGGAAGGAAGGTATGCTTTCTAAATAAGCTTATGTATGTTAAGAGTAGAGCACAATGCTTGGCACAGAGAAGAGTCTCAAAGAATGTGCCCTCTATTCCTTCATGACTGCCCCTCTGAAAGGAGGTCTTGTTCTCCCATTAGTCTAAGAAGTTATCAGCCTGGGGCTGATTTTTTGCATCCTCCTAGAATCCTACTCCCCTTTTATCTTTTCTCATCATTTTATTTTTTCTTATAATTTTACTTTTACTTATGTCATTTTGTTTTTGGTGGTACTAGGGTTTGAACTTAGGGCCTAGTACTTGCTAGGCAGGTTCTGTACCACTTGAGCCACACCCACAGCCCTTTTATGCTTTAGTTATTTTTCAGGGAAGAGCTCAAGTTTTTGCCCATGGGGGCTGGCCTCCCACAGATCTGGGACCACAGCCCCCCCACCCCCCGCCGCCATTTTCCTATCTTTTTTGCTCCTGCTGGCCTCTAACTGCAATCTGCCTAATCTCTGCCTCTCAATTAGCTGGGAATTCAGGGATGTGCAACTGTACCAAGCTCCTTATGTTATTCTTGAACTCATATTTTTCATATTTTTGATGGGACTGGGGTTTGAACTCAGGGCTTCACACTTGCAAAGCAGGTGCTTCTACCAGTTGAGCCACACCTCCAGTCCATTCTTATGGAATTCTTAAGACTATCCTATGTCTCCAATACTCTCCAAGTTCTATAAAGGCAGGGGGTGCAATTCTGTCAATAAAATACTCTCCAATCACAAAAAGTAGGAGTGGTGGCGTGCTTATCTGGAAAAAAAAAAATTACAAAAATGTAGGGCTGGTGGAATGCTTATCTCGAAAAAACCGTTACAAAAAAGTAGGGGTGGCGGAGTGGCTCAAAGTGTAGGCCCTCAGTTCAAACGCCAGCACTGCAAAAAAAAAAAAAAAAAAAAAAAAAAAAAAAAAAAAAAATCCAGTGGCTCCTGGATTGCACTTTGAATAAAGTCCGAATTCCTAACCAAGGCCCAAAAGTCTCTTCCTGATTGCCTCCTGTCTTTACTTCCACAACTACTGCTACTGTCTCCACTTGGGCCATTCTGATCCTTTCTGATTCTCAAACACAACATGCTGATGCAGTCTGTTCCCTCTGCTTGGAAGCACTGATTAGTTTCTCACTACTGAGCCCTACATTTTTCAGATGAGCCACAGGCCTCAGAACAGGTTAAACAACTTGTTGAAGGTCGCAAAGCTAATAAATCTCTAACTCTAAAATGTTTCCTTAACCTAATATATAGTGTCTGGCACACAGTGGGCATTCATTAAACAATGGGAGAATAAATAGAAGCATACACAATTAGCACTCTTTAAAAACATAAAAGATAAACATTTTAACATTGAAAACATACACACAAGAGCGAAACGCTCTCTTTAAAACTCGCTCACAATTCCAGCAAGACAACTACTACCGTACTTCCGCTTGTTCCGGTGCGGTTTTACAATTCAACAATATTGGAGAAGGCATTGCCCAACCTTTTGCTACAAGTTTGACACGCCCCGCTATCTGTCGTCCCGCCCATTCCGCCACAAGTCTTCCTGGGAGTCGTAGTCCCGAGCTCGGTTCGCTCCGATGGCAGCCGCGGCGCGTGCTCGACCGCAGGACTACAGGGGGTGGTGCGCAGGTCGCGAGGCTCTTCCGCCTCGCCTTTCCCTCCCCGCCTGCGCGCACGTCCCAGTTATCATGGCGGCTCCCTTGGCCCTGGTGGTGGTGGTGGCCGTGACCGTGCGGGCGGCCTTGTTTCGCTCTAGTCTGGCAGAGTTCATTTCCGAGCGGGTGGAGGTGGTGTCCCCATTAAGCTCTTGGAAGAGAGGTGAGGCCACCGGCTCGAGTAGGCGGTCCGGCCAGGTCCGCGCTGTCCCATTCTCTGTGAATGGGAGACGGGCGGGAGCAGTGACCGCCAGCGCGCGGTTCGAAAGGAACTGACCGGCGCCTGTGGTCCTTGGAGAGCTGAGGGAGGCGCCGTGGAGCTTGGAGGGAGCTGGGAGGTCTGAGGTTTTAAATCCTGAAGTCCAGACCACCTAGGGAGTGGGCGTTTGAGGGGGCGTGTCCCACTCTGCCCAGAGTCCGGGGGCGTGATCCGTGAGAGGCTTGGGATAAGAAGATGGGTGCTGTGGGGGCATGGGATCGCGAGCGGATCCTTGGGATAGCAGAGAGCGCTTGAGGGGAGTCGGGACAAGGGAACCAGCCTAGAGTCAAGCAAGAATAGTGTCTGTGAATGGGCTCTGTGTAGGACTTGCAGTAAAGTTTCCTTGCTATCCTTTTTCTGTAAGTTCTGCATCAGACATTATGCTAGAGCCTACAACGAGACACAGAATTTGGGATGAAAAGGAGGCACAGGCTTGTGGGGGAGACAAACAAGTAGTTATAATAATTTATGAAAAGCGTACTTCCTGTGTACACCAAGTTCTTTCTTTAGTATTCTGGTCGTCCTCCTTTTCTAGTTTCCTGAGGATGGAAGATTTGAACTGGTTTTTTTTTTTTTGGTGGTGGTACTGGGGCTTGAACTCAGGACCTAACGCTTGCTAGGCAAGCACTCTACCGCTTGAGTCGCTCCACCAGCCGTTGAGCTGACGCTTGAAGGACGTAGGATTTTGGAAAAGCGAAGTACCAGGTAGCAGACTTACACTGGCTCAAGAAATGTTTAGGAGCTGGGGATGTGACTCAGTGGTAGAACGCTTATCTAACATGCAGGAGGTCCTGGGTTCAATCTCTGACATCGCAAAATTAAATAACAAAACCTGACGCTTGGACTCTACCCCAGACCAAATATTTCTTTGGGGCCTTAGTTAAAACAAAACAAAACAAACAAAAAAGAAAAAAGAAAGTGTTTAAAGATGTGAAATATGCAAAGTAGGAAAGCAAGGAGGTGGGGGATAGGTTGGGACAAGAGTTTGATGATTAAGAAAAAAGCTTGGGTTGGTGGAGTGGCTCACGTGGTAGAGCGCCAGAGCGCCTGCCTAGCAAGGGTGAGGCCCTGAATTCAAATCCCAGTACTGCAAAAAGAAAGAAAGCTTTTTCACTAAAGTACAGTATACATTGAAAACACATATAATACTTATAGACAGAGCTCAGTGAAGTTTTATAAACCTTGTACACCTATGTAGCCAGCACTTAGATAAAGAAACATTATCAGAACCCAAGAAATTCCCTGGGTATTCTGGAACTTCAAGTGCTAGAGTTTTGATGTCATAACATAAACATTTTGGAATGGAGACTGCACAATGATTGGGTGTTTTATTAATAAAGTTCCTAAAAATAGTATATATCAAAGGACTATGGTAAGCCTTTTATATGCCCTTTCTCACTTAGTCCTCACAGTAATTCTATATGCTATATGGCAATATTGCATATAGAATATGATATATGGTAATATAGCATATAGAATATGATATATTCTATATGATAAGGAAACAGATTTAGTAATAAAGGTAGTATGTATGAATTTGGATTTGATATCTCTGCTTATAATTTTTTGTTGAATTGAAGCTACTTGGTTCCTGCTTTGTTCTGTATACCAAAATACCCAAGGCACTATTAGATCCTCTATCCTCTGTACTTTTAGTACTTCATACATACCTATTTTTTTAGAATTATTTGTTTGTATCTGGTCTTCTCGCTGTATTATGAGCTCCTTAAAGGGCACTCTTTTATTCATTCCTGAATTCATTTGTGCCTCGCATACAGCAGGTACATAGTTAACTACTGAATAGATATGGAAGAAAAGAAAGCATAATATGTTATTTATAGGATAGGTAGGTTGAAGGACCCACAGATGACATAATAGTGTGTGGTGACAAACAGCATAGGGTCTAGAATCTCAGAAAGGGTTTGAATCTCTGGTTCTACCACTTACTAGTTTTGTGACTTCTAACATAAGTTTTATTATCTGCAAATTATGAAATTATAATACATACCCTGTAAATGAGATAATCCATATTAAAGCTCAACACAGTATGAAAGCCAGTAAGTCTACTTTTAAGGTTTTGAGTTTAGAGCCTAAGATTGGGAGGATCATGGTTCCAGACCAGTCTTGGCCAAACAAAGTTTGTGAGACCTCCATTTCAGCGAAAAAAAGCTGGGCATGGTGGCGCCCACCTATCTTCTCAGCTATGGGAAGCTACACTAGAGACTGAGATTGGGAGGACCACAGTCCAGGCTGGCCTGGGCAAAAAAATGAGACCTTATCTCCAAAATAAGCAGAGTAAAAAGGGCTAGAGGCGGGTGGTAAGGGAGGGGGTGGGGGCAGGGGGGAGAAATGAACCAAGCCTTGTATGCACATATGAATAATAAAAGAATAAAAAAAAAAGGGCTAGAGGCATGGCTCAGCCGCCTGCTTAGCAAGTACAAAGCCCTGAATTCAAACCCCAGTAACAGCAAAAAAAAAAAAAAAAAGATTTGGTGCTAGGCTTGGTGTTTCATGTCAATAATCCCACTACTCAGGAGGCTGAGGTAGGAGGATGGAGAGTTTGAGGCCTGCCTGGGCTATACAGTGTGATCATGTCTCAAGAAAACAAATCAAGGTCTGAATGCTAGGTGTCTTCATTGTTCCTGGGGTGATACTGCTTCTTAGGTCCTCTCAACTAGAGATATAAGGATACCACTGTTTTTGCCATGCTGAATGTATGTCCTTCTTGATACGGGAAACTGAAAGATAGTGTCAGTGTTATACCAGATGATACCTTAGAAAAATATACCAAGGTAACTAAATTAGAATCCTTTTTTTTTTTTTTTTTTTTTTTTTTTTGTGGTACTGGGGTTTGAAGTCAGTGCTTGCTAGGCAAGTGCTCTACCACTTGAGGCACTCCGCCAGCCCTTTTTGTGTTGGGTGTTTTTGAGATAGGGTCTTGTGAACTATTTGCCTGGGGCTGGCTTCGAACTATGACCCTCCTGATCTCTACCTCTTGAGTAGCTAGGATTACAGGTGTGAGCCACCAGTGCCTGGCTAGAATTCTTGTTTCATGAAATAATTATCAATCAAGAATTGAGAGACTTTAGGGCTAGGGGTGTATGGTTGAGTGTACCTACCATTCATAATCCCCTGGGTTTGGTCCCCAGCACCAGAGAGGAAAGGAGGGAGGGAGAGAGTGTGTTAGGAGACTGAATAAAATAAAAGTATTTTAAAACATTAATTGGATAATCTATGAAGCAAATGTTATTCAGTTTCTCTGGTATCCCTTTTGTCATACCTTCTTTTTTGTACTTTCGACATACTGTTATTGATACTTTGTTTTTTTTCACCAAACAGGCTTTTTGTCAAACTGACTAAAATATTTCTAGCATAATACTATTGGAACATTGTTTTATGTATGTGTGTAAAACATAACATATATGTGGGTATACACACATACACATATATATTAATTAGAATTTGGCAGCCCCCCCCTGTTTTTTAATACAGTATTGGGGTTGAACCCAGGGTCTTGCACATGCTAGGCAAGCACTCTACCACTTGAGCTAAGCTAAGTATTTTTTTTGTTTTTATTTAGTTTTTGAAACTGTCTCATGGCTGTCTTTGCCTGGGCTGACCTCCTACCTCCATCTCCCAAGTAGCTTGGGTTACAGGCATGAACCACCACACCTGGCTCACATTCAGTATTCTATTAAGTCTCGTAATGTCCTGATTTACAGATTGTTGCTGCATCTTAAGTTTCTATTTTATTACCTTGTTGTCAAGGATAAGTGGGAACTACATGTTTATAAAGGTATTAACCACTTCCACCTTTCTGCTGCAGCTCTGATTATTCTATTAAACATAGAGTAGATTCACTAATATATGCCAAAGAGTATTTTGGTACTCTTATAGCTCAGACGTCCCTCAATGCACTGTAGACCATGTAGAAGTTTTCACTTATGTCAAAATAAGAAAAATGACAGTGCAAGAAGTTTAGCATAAAGCTAAAGGTATATTAAAATATTTTGAGCTTATGCTGTTCTTATACTTTTTAATGTTACAGAAAGTGGTGGTAGGATTTTTACAAATGTTTTTAAATGAAGTTGGTCCTTTCCCCAGGTTAATTATCTATGAAGTAATATGTTATATTTAATCACCAAGATAGTAGAGCCACATCCTAGGCACTTGCAGAGAGTACATTGGCAAATTTACTGATGTATAATTTCTAGCAAAAGTATCTCTGGGAGAAATTACATTTAGATAATTGCCTGAAAGGTATGTAGACTGTCGTCTACATACAGTCTCGAAAATCTCCCTCTGGATTTCAACCTGAGTTGTGGAGAATGATGTTTCCACACAGCCTCATACTGGATGCTAAAGAGTTGCTCGTCCTGCTCTGGGGTAAGATGCCATTGACTTAAGGTAAGGGATGCCTTGTGACGTGGACTGATGAGTCATCTTGGGTCTTCAGTTAAGCAGAGCGAAGGGTTTAATGGTAGTGTTACACAGCAGCCTCTTAAGTTCCTTAAGAAGTATTTCTTTCTGGTCCTAGTGTAAAGACCAGTTATAATCGTCAAGAGCAAATAGGCTGTTTTTATTTTATGGCCACCGTGAATTGTGTAACTAAGTAAGTTTCCTTAGTTTGGGTCTGTAAAGTTTTTTTATTGTTGTTTATTCATTTATTCATATGTGCATACATTGTTTGGGCCATCTCTCCCCCCCCCCCCGCCCCCTGCCCCCTCCTCTGGGTTTGTAAAGTTTTAAGTCATACTTAAGAACCAGCCATAAACATAGAGTTTTGTTGAACCAGCTTTGTAACTTTGATTTTCTTTTTCATTAATTTATTTTTGAATAATTAATTCAGTCACATGGTTCAAATTCCAATCATGATTCTTTCTACCACTTTTCTTTTTTTTCTTAATTTTTCTTCATTTTCCGTTTTTGAGATGGAGTCTCAAAAAGAGAGACTGGGCTTCACCTCCCGGGGTCAAGTGATCTTCCTGCCTCAACATACTGAATGCTGGGACTAGCAGCACAGGCCCCATGCCTGACTCTCCCACTTTCTTACAGCCATTCAGTTTCATTCCCTGGAAGTAACCATTGTTATCAGTTTCCTATGTATCTTTCTGAGCTGTCTTCTACTTTTATTTCTTTTTTGTGAAACTGGGTTTTGAATTCAGCTTCACACTTGAAAGCAGGTGCTTGCAAGGCAAGCACTCTACTGCTTGAGCCACAACTCTGCTCCATTTTGTTCTGATTGTTTTGGAGATGGGGGTCTCTTGAACTATTGGCCTGGGCTTTTTGCCTCAAACTTCGATCCTCCCCATCTCAGCTTCTTAACTATCTAAGATTATAGGTGTCAAATCCTGGCTCTATAAACATGTAATTTTATGAATCTTTCTATTTCCATTTTATGTTTTTTCTTATCCTTTGTCACCTACTTTCTCTTAAATATAATTTTCCTATTTCTTTTTAACAGTTATGAAATAATTCATAACAGGGTGTGGTGGCTAACGCCTTAATCATAGCTGCTTAGGAGTCAGAGAGCAGGAAGATCAGGGTTTGAAGTCAGCCTGGGTAAAAAAGTGAGACTCCATGCCCACTAAAAGCTGGGCAATGTGGTATGTCTGTCATCCAAGCTATGCGGGAAATGTGAATAGGAGGGTCGCAGTCCAGCCTGGCCTGGGCATAAATGGGAGACCCCATGCAAAAAAATAACTAAAGCAAAAATGGACTGGGGGCATGGCTCAAGTGGTAGGGTACCTGACTAGCAAGCTCAAGGCCTTGAGTTCAAACTTCAGTACTGAAAAAAAAAAAAATCATGCTTATTACTAAAGATTCAGAAAATGAAGAAAAGGTAAAAGAAATTAAGCATCTGTAATCTTATCACCCAGAGATAATTACATTAACATTTTAATGTTTATTTTTCCTGACATTTCTTTTTTTGTTTGTTTGTTTCTTGAGACAGATTCTTACCATGTAGTCCAGGGTGCCCTTGAATTCATTATGTAGCCCAGGCTGGTCTCAAACTTACCATGTACTCAAACTCTCTTCTCCTGCCTCAGCCTCTGAGTGCCATTATTACAGGTAGGCACCAACTCTTCAGGCATTTCTCATTGAATGCATATTCATTTTCTCTCAAATAATTTTAAATTGGGGGTAAATATAATCAAAGTGTACTGTATATAAAAATATAATGAAACCCATCATTTGTATAATTAATACATACTAATCATATACACACAATATATATATTTTTGTGTGGTACTGAGGTTTGAACTCAAAGCTTGGCACTTGCTGGGCAGGAGCTCTACTGCTTGAGCCACACCTCCAACCCCATAAAATTTTGAATAAAATTGTGTTAAGATCTGCTTTTAATTTTAGAACATTTCACATCTGTAATCCTAGCTGCTTAGGAGGCAGAGATCAGGAGGATCATGGTTCGAAGCCAGCCTGGGTAAAACAGTTCATGAGACACTAACTCGGAAAAAACCCATTACAAAAAAGTTCTGGTGGAGTGGTTCAAGGTATAGACCCTGAGTTCAAACCCCAGTTCCACAAAAAAAAAAAAAAAAAAAAAAAAAAGGAACCGTCATTTTAGGATCAAAAGGTACACATCTAAAAAGTAACATTGCCCTGTAGAAAAGTGATTACAAATGTCAAAGAGGCAACAGAAGAGAATGACTGTCAGTTTTCCCATACTATGGGCAACATTTCTCACCATCTTCTGATTTGTTATCTTTACTGTGTTTCGGGACGGCACAGAATATACATAAAACACAATTTAGAGGGGAGGGGTGTAGATTACAAGGAGATAGAAGGAAGTTTCCTTTTTTATTTTGGTGGTACTGGGGTTTGAACTCAGGGTTTCACACTTTGGAGACAGGCACTCTACCACTTGAGCCATGCTTCCAGTCCAGAAGGGAATTTACAGTTTAGCATAAATTCTCATAATGAAGAGAGGGAATGGGAACATAATGGGGTGAACTTGCTCAAAGTACTGTGTACATGTATGGAGTTATCACAATGAACCCCCTTGTGCTAATTCAAAAATAAAATGGGAAGAAAAACCTCTTACAATGACCACGGTCCACAATGCAAAGTGGTGCTCTGTATTGAAGAGTTCCCCATCCTTGGAATGTTCAAATCAAGACTTACAGCCAGTTGCTGGGGATGAAGTAAAGGTATTAGATAAACTTTGAGGCCCTTTTTGGTCCTAGGAGTATCTAACATTTTAGTTTTATGACCATTTGCTGATGTCTCTGAAATCTGAGTGAACTTGGGATTTTTTTACTTTTCAGTTGTTGAAGGCCTTTCACTACTGGATTTGGGAGTTTCTCCATATTCTGGAGCAGTATTTCATGAAGTAAGTGTTCTTGTTTTCTTCTGTAGGCATTAAGAGTAGTTTGCAATCATGGATATCAAAGCCTAGCCTCTGTTTTGTACAAACATTTAAAAAGATCTATTTTTGAAAATCATATTCAGAAATAACCCCCCTTTTTTTTAGATATCCTCTTCATAAGAAGGAGATTTCACAATTACAATGGAAACAACTCAGATTAAAATTTTTAACTTGGGGCTGGGTACCAGTGGCACATGCCTATAATCTTAGATACTTGGGAGGCTGAGATTAGGAGAACTGCTGTTTGAGGCCAGCCTGGGCAAATAATTCATGAGACCCCCAATCTTTAAAATAACCAGAGCACTTAGAGCACCTGCTTTTCAAGCATGAAACCCCCTACAAAAAAAAAAAAAAAGATTTTAACTTGAAGAAATAGATTTCTGTAGAAATGACTATTTTTAATGGCAAATAGGCTGTGAACAGTTCCCAATCCAGGAATAGGTTATATGCTATCATCTTTTTAAACTTGCTTTCCCACGAAAACTATGACAGTAATGTTGGTTTCTTAGAAAGCCCACCAAAACTTATTTAACCCATAAAATTAGTTCTTCAGATTAGCAAAAGCACTCTTAGTTAGGTCACCATTATCTCTTGCTTGGGTTATTGCAACAGTTTCCTGATAAATCTTTCACAGATCAGTCTGCTCATTTACTCTTTATTCTTTGTTCAGGGACATTTTTCTTTTTTTGTGGGACTAGGGTTTGAACTCAGGGCTCTGAGCTTGCGAAACAGGTGCTCTACCACTTAAGCCATTCCTTCAGTGCATTTTTCTGTGGTTATTTTGGAGATGAGGTCTCATGTACTATTTGCTCGAGCTAACCTTAAACTGGCAGTCTTCCCAGTGTCAGCCTCCCAAGTAGCTAGCATTACAGGGATGAACCACTGGTACCTATCCAGGGACATTTTTCTAAAATGTGAATTTGATTTTGTCACTGTCTTGCTCAGTACCTGTGAGTACTCACCATTGACTTCAGGATAAAATCCAAATACCTTAGGAGATTGTACAAAGCCCTATAGACCGACACTCTGTACCACATCAGCCACATTCTTAGTAATCCTTTTTCTAACCGTACTTGCTATATCATTTTAAAGTAGAAGTCTTCCAATTTGTCAACTTATCCTATGGTTTTTGCTTTTGTTTCCCTCATACATACTTTGACAATAACTTTTTTTTTATTATTGTTGTACTGGGGGTACATTGTGACATCTACAAAATTTCTTGCAATATGTCATAGTTGAATTTACCCCCTCCATCATTCTCCTTTATCCCCCCTCTGACAATAACTTTTTTCCTTTTTTTTTTCTTTTGACAATAACTTTTTTATTTGGCTCCTCTATCCAGTCTTTTGAAAGCATTCAACTTGGTTCTTGTTGAAATAGCAACTGCCTTGCATTCATATTTTATTATCTTTGTGTTAATAACTAATCAAGCTGCAATTACAAGAACTACTAGCAGGAACAAGTTATGAACAATTTAAGACTCTTAGTAAGCACACAAGTCAATTTAATTGGAACAGATATATTTGACATGCCAAGGAGTAGCCCTTTAGTTATAAGGGCTCAGTGTGTAGCCTGAAGGAAGCTATTGGTAATGTAAATATTATGTTACTACTTTTTTTGTTTTGTTTTATTTTTTGGCAGTAGGGGGTTTGAACCCAGGGCTCATGTGCTTGCTATGTAGGTGCTTTGCTGCTTGAACCATGCCTCTAGTATGCCTTGATCCACATCTCTAATCCATTTTTGCTCTGGTTATTTTTTGGAGATGAAGTCTCACAAACTATTTGCCTTGGCTGGCTTCAAACCTTAATCCTGATCTCAGCCTCCCAAGTAGGTAGGTTTACAGGCATGAGCCACCAGCCACCAGCTGAAATTTCTTTTCTTTTTTATTATTGTTGTGCTGGAGGTACATTGTGACATTTATAAAAGTTCTTACAATGTATCATAGTTGAATTCACCCTCTCCATCATTCTCCTTTATCCCTCCTCCCCCATTTCTAAAATAGATTCAATAGGTCTCATTTTTCCGTTTACATACATGTGTACACAATGTTGGCACCATAGTCTACATCCTACACACTTTCCCTACTTCCTCCCTCCTCCCAATGTGATTTCTTAACACACCTCTCTTTAGCTGTCAATAAACAGACCAAAAAAATCAATTTGAACAAATCATTAGCATACTTAACCTAATATATAGAATGCTGTACACATAAATGTTAGTATGTGCATTCTTTTTAAGTGTACATGGAACACTTGTCAAAACAGCCAGATGATGGACCATGGTCACAGCACATTTTAAATTATTGAAATAATGTAGTGTCTTTTTATGACCACAGTAGAGTTAATGTAGCAACCAGTTATAAAAATGTAAAAAGGCCAGGTGCCGTGGCCCCTATCTGGAAAAACCATTCATAAAAATAGGGCTGGTGGAGTGGCTCAAGGTGAAGGCTCTGAGTTCAAGCCCCAGTACTGCAAGAAAAAAAAGTAAAAAGGGGCAGACCCCTGTAATCCTAGCTATTTGGGAGGCAGTATTGAGGTTTGAGGCCAGTTCAGGTAAATAGTTCGAGAGACTCTATCTCAAAAATACCCAACATAAAAAGCACTGATGGAGTGGCTCAAGTGGTAGAGTGCCTTCCTAGCCAGCGTAAAGCCCTGAGTTCAAACTCCAGTACCACCAAAAAAAAAAAAAAAATGTAAAAAGGTTAGGTTGGTTTGGTTTGTTTTTTTTGGTGCTAGAGATCAATTCTAAGGCCTCATCCACGGTACACACATGCTCTACCTCTGAACTATATCCCCAGTCTGTACATTTTAGGCCTCTACTACTTGAGCTGTGCCTCCAGTCCCGCCGCCCCCCCCACCTCCCAGTCTATACATTTTAGAGTAGTCTCAAAGAAGAAATGTCAGTGGAAATTAAAATTACTTTCAATTGAATAATACTGAAAAAAAACCCAGCATATCAAAACATGTGCGATTCAGCTAAAGCCATACTCAGAGGAAAATATATTGCCTTAAATAATAAAAAGTCAAATATTGTAAACAATTTTGTGTTAATTAGACAGAAATTTAGATGAAATGGATATGTTCCTAGAAAATGTAATTTATCACAAAATACAACAAATCTGAATAGTGTTTAATCTATGAAAGAAATTGAATCTGTAAAGAACTGAATCTAAAAGAAAACTCAGGCCAAGATGGCTTCATAGTTAGTGAGTTTTCCCAAATCTTTTTTTTTTTTTTTTTTGAAGCAGGGTCTCACTATCTATCACTAGTATCTCAGGCTGGCTTTGATCTCAAAATCCTTCTGTTACAGACTCAAAGTCCTGGAATTACAGGTATGCACCCCCATGCCTGGCTCTACCCAATTCTTTGAGGAGGAAATAATATTTTTTTTTTTTTTGGAAATAATATTTTTTGTTGTTGGTTTCTTTTTTGGCAGTCTGGAAGTTTGAACTCGGGTCCTTGTTCTTGCTAGGCAGGCATTCTATCATTTGAGCCATGCCTCCACCCTTTTTTGCTTTAGTTAATTTTCAAATAGGATCTGGCATTTATGCTTGGGGATGATGATCCCCTTATTTACACTTCTCACCTAACAGGCAGGCATCACCACACTCATCTTTTATTGGTTGAGATGGGAGTCTTGCAAACTTTTTCCCTCGAGCTGCTCTCAAACTTTGATCCTCCTGATCTTTGCTTCCTAAGTAGCTAGGATTACAGATGTGAGCCATCATGCTCAGCTGGAAGTAGTGTTCTTATATAAACTTATCAGTGAGTATAGAGAAAGGAAAAAAAAAATACTAGTTTATTTTAGGAGTTCAGCAATCTTGGTACTCTATACTGTTCCCCTTGGTTGTTAGACATGTTTTAGAACTAAAATTTAGCCGAGTGTCAGTGGCTCATGCCTGTAATCCTAGCTACTCAGGAGGCAGAGATCAGGAGGATCGTGGTTTGAAACTTGTGTGGGCAAGTAGTTCACAAGACCCTATCTCGAAACAACCCTTCACCAAAAAAGGACTGGTGGAGTGGCTGAAGGTGTAGGCCCTGAGTTCAAAATCCCAGTACCACAAAAAAAAAAAACCCTAAAATTTATACCTCATAGCTTTAGTGTATTAACAGTTCCTAAACATTTATATATTGAGATGGAGTAAAGCTGCATTGTTCCAGCTGACCTTGAACTCTTGAGTAGCTGGGACTACAGGCATGCACCATCATACCAGGCTGCATATTTAGCACATGTCATATTTTGTTATTTCCTTTACTCAATTCAATAGATAGTCTCAGTGGCACAAAATGATCCAGGATACTAAGTTATTCTTTCTTAATGTGTACTGACTAATTAGCATAGAACAGTTATTGTAGGGAGGAAACAGATTTTTTTTGCTAAAGAATTGTTTTCCCCTACTCCCATCTTAGAAATATAATTCATAATAAGGTTTAACTTAATTTTTTTTGCATGTTTGTTTTTCTTCTGCAGACTCCATTAATAATATACCTCTTTCATTTTCTAATTGACTATGCTGAATTGGTATTTATGGTAAGTAGTTGTCCAGGTAAAATCACTATATATATATATATATATATATATATATATATATTTTTTTTTTTTTAATTTTACAATCATCTTGTTTTTATGAAAAAAATCTATGTTAGGAACTTGAGTGTTTCTCAGAACATAAAAGCTAAGACTTTAGTTTGAAAGCATGGAACTGTGGAGGTATTATGGGAGTATGAGAAATAGTTTCTGATTTCTGAGCAGTTCCATTTCCTTATTCTTTGGAATTTGTAGTCTTGAAATTTCTAGCTCCAAGATTCTGTAGTTGGTTTTAACTGTGTCAGTGTGAAGGGTTAAGCATTGTGACATGAGATTCTGTGAAGACATAGACCTGATTAGACTTTGAGGGGCAAGAATTTTGAAAATTGAGATGTCAGGGCTATGTTTTGAGAGCATAGCAGTTTGAAACATTTATCTAATCTTGGATTGAAAATCTGGGTCAAGAAATACCTAGGAAGTCTACTGAAGACTTCCTTCATAATTATAATGGCTGCTATTGATTGAACACTTACTCCGTGCTAGGTGCTTGACAGACTCGAGGCCAGCAAAGCAGTAGGTATTATTCCTATTTTACAGAAAACTTAAGTAACTTGAAATTCTAGAGCAAATGTGGGACACCAGACTGAAGTGAGCCTAGATGGGTCCTAATTCTAAGGGCTTTCCAATCTTACTTCCTTGATTGAACCTTACCTTTGAGTAGCCAAAGGGAGGGTTGAAGTTCTGCCTGACTCTAAGAGTTCAGTACTGGGTAGCCCACTACCCAGAACTTCAGGGCCAGTCAATGTCTTCCCATTATTCCTACACTATTTCCTATTATTCCTCTTTCTCTTGACAGATAGCTGATGCACTCACTGCTCTTGCCCTGTATTTTGCAATACAGGACTTCAATAAAGTTGTGGTAAGTAGTTAGTGGGTGGTACAAAGCTGATAGAATTTGGTAACCTGCTGATCTTTGTTACTGAAAAGAATCAAAGGTCATTACTTAAGTATCTAACTGTTTTAAAATGCTAAGAAGTGGGAGTGAATCTTCTGGTGGTTCTGCATACTCTGGAGTGACAAAACCCAAACCCACAGACAGCTTTACTAATTGAAAGGTCAGCTTAATCTATGTAGCCTATTAATATCTACACACCTGTGCAAGCTGTGACTTTCTGGAATAGAGTTGAATGACAGATTAATGAGACTCCTTAAAAATCTTTCATTCTTTTCACTGCTTTTTCTTTTCATAGGAAAATGAATACAGCTTTTAACTCACTGTGTTAGGCCTCTTTGAGGTAAAATTGGATTCCCAGTGTTGAAGATTCTGTTTCCCTGCAGAGTGATCTTTCTTTGGTGGGGGGGAGGGGGCGGCAGGGAGGGTAGTTGGTGCTGGGGATCAAACTCAGGGCTTCACAAATACTAGGCAAGCATTCTGTCACTGAGCTATACTTCCAGTCCTAAAAAAGTAATCTTAAATTAGAAAATTCAGCATGTATTAATGCCTGTTGAAAGTATTGATGTAAACTTTACTCTTAACTATGTAATAGCTAAGGGGAATTGCATAGTGGGATCATTCTCCTTTCCCTGGATTCTGAGAAAGTTAATAGATTAGCTATGTGCACTTGCCATGTAGTTATGAAAAAAAGATTTGGTTTGTTTTGGCTTCAGTTCTCCTTGATTGACTGGGAGCCATTCAGAGGATTTAGGCCAGAGTGATAAGGCTATATTGCCAGTTTGTGGTTCATTTTTACTTCTGTCACCATGTAATAGAATCAGAAATGAAAGTCTGTCTTTCAGTGGCACTTGCCATCAGTAACAAAAAATCTGTTGAATTTTAGACCTTAGAGAAGGTTTTTTTAAAATACCTGTAGCAAGGGTTCTTAATTTAGGGTCCATTTATAAATGGCATTTTAAAGGCTTAAGGGGCCTTTAAAATCCTTGAAATGGTATAAAAAAAATGTGTATATAAATGTGTTGGTATTTTTTTCTAAGAGTTCATCTCTATTATTGGTGGTTAGGACTCTTTGACTCCTCCCCTAAAGGATTAAGTACTGTAATTTAGAGGCCTAGTATCACTAGGGCTAGGGAGTGTATGTCTTACTACTAAAGCATAGCTTAAAAATTTTAGAGGCTAATGCGCTCTGTTACCTTATTTACAGCTGGGTGGCCCCTGTCATTTCCCATCCTCCTTCCAATTCTGCTATCCAGATCTGCACTCAGCTGGTCATTCCCTCCAGTTCCTTGCTGATTACCTTGCCTTGGCACAGATACAGCAGAGGTACCTAGGTTAGCCCCAGAGTGCATGCTTTGGCCTATAAAGGAGTTTAAGAGCCTCATTGTCTGAGTTTTGATAATGTTGGAGGAATATACCTCCTGCCCCACCCTCACCCCTCAGCACATAGCCCCTCCACCGCCAACCACCTCCATTCCTTTTATTTCTAGTTTGGCGCTCTAGACCAGGGCATTAGTATGCAAGAGTTAATGTAAGGTTAGAATCATCTACTTTTTTTTTTGGTGGAACTGGGGTTTGAGCTCAGGGCTTTGCACTTGGAAAGCAGGCACTCTAACTTTTTTGTTGTTGTTGTTGTTCACATGTGCATACAAGGCTTGGGTCATTTCTCCCCCCGCCCCCACCCCCTCACTTACCACCCACTCCGCCCCCTCCCTCTCCCCCCTACCCCCTCAATACCCAGCAGAAACTATTTTGCCCTTATCTCTAATTTTGTTGTAGAGAGAATATAAGCAATAATAGGAAGGAACAAGTGTTCCTGGTTGAGATAAGGATAGCTATACAGGGAGTTGACTCACATTAATTTCCTGTGCGTGTGTGTTACCTTCTAGGTTAATTCTTTTTGATCTAACCTTTTCTCTAGTTCCTGGTCCCCTTCTCCTATTGGCCTCAGTTGCTTTAAAGTATCTGCTTTAGTTTCTCTGTGTTGAGGGCAACAAATGCTATCTAGTTTTTTAGGTGTCTTACCTGTCCTCATATCTCTCTTGTGTGCTCTCGCTTTTATCTTGTGATCAAAGTTCAGTCACCTTGTTGTTTTTGCCCTTGATCTAATGTCCGCATATGAGGGAGAACATATGATTTTTGGTCTTTTGGGCCAGGCTAACCTCACTCAGAATGATGTTCTCCAATTCTATCCATTTGCCAGCGAATGATAACATTTCGTTCTTCTTCATGGCTGCATAAAATTCTATTGTGTATAAATACCACATTTTCTTGATCCATTCGTCAGTAGTGGGGCATCTTGGCTGTTTCCATAACTTGGCTATTGTGAATAGTGCTGCAATAAACATAGGTGTGCAGGTGCCTCTGGAGGAACCTGTGTCACATTCTTTTGGGTATATCCCCAAGAGTGGTATTGCTGGATCATATGGTAGCTCAATGTTTAGCTTTTTAAGTAACCTCCAAATTTTTTTCCAGAGTGGTTGTACTAGTTTACATTCCCACCAGCAGTGTAAGAGGGTTCCTTTTTCCCCCTGCATCCTCGCCAACACCTGTTGTTGATGGTGTTGCTAATGATGGCTATTCTAACAGGGGTGAGGTGGAATCTTAGTGTGGCCTAAAATAGTTTTTAATGAGTGGGGGGATCTTAGGAGGAAGTAATGAAAGTGGGTTTCAGTTAGTTTGACTTCACTGTCAACAAGAGAGACACCTTTAATTTAGGGAACCAATAATTTTAATTGATTTGTGGTTTCTGGGTTTATTTAGAATCACAGAGGTTTTTCATTTGTGACTTAGAGGAAATCAAATGAGCTACTGTCGATACCCAGTTTTTTAGTGCACCAAGATGTGTTGTAATCACGAAGACTGAATTAAAATCTGGAAAATTTTTTGTTTCTCCGTTCTCATAGTTCAGATTATTGTAGCATTGGTTTTCTTGGTCAGAATAAAAGTTTTATGGGGAGGGGAAAGAGAATAATAACAGTTTTATTTATGTCATGTCAAAAATTAACTCATTCTAGGCTTGGAGAGTATGGCTCAAGTGATAGAGCTCTTGCTTAGCAAGTGTGAAATCCTGAGTTCAATCTCTAGTACCCCCGCCCCCAAATTAGCTCATTCTAAATGGCAGCTTTTGCTGTAATTGTTTCTTGTTTTTGTTTGGTTTTTATTTTATTTTATTTTCTATTATTTATTTTTCTTTTATTCATATGTGCATACAATGTTTGGCTCATTTCTTGTTTGGTTTTTTGAGGCAGGATTTTACTATGTAGCTCAGGCTGGTCTTGAATGATCAATTCTCCTGCCTCACCTTTCTGACTACTGGGATTACAGGTGTGTAACACCATGCCCAGCTTAAATGGCAGCTTTCAATACTACTATCATACTGCTGTAGTATGATTTGTCTTGTTTTTTTTTTTGGTGCTGGGGATCAAAGCTAGGCTTTGCTCATGCTAGGCAAGTGCTTGATAACTGAGCTACCTCCCCAGTCCTTTGTTTTTTGTTTTTTTGATCAGGGTTTCATTGTATACCCCATAATGGCTTCAAACTCTTGATCCTCCTGCCTCTGCCTTCTGAGTGCTGGGATTACAGGTATGTGCCACTGTACCCAGCTATCATACTACCATTGATATAGATAGAATATCAGCATATGTCTTCCTCTTAAATCTCTGCTTTGTCAGAAGAGTGTATACTATATGGTCTGGAAACATTTTCTTGCTGGGATTTTTTTTTTTTTTTTTTTTGATGGGATTGGTGTTTGAACTCAGGGCTTCATGCTTGCAAAGCAGGCGCTCTACCACTTGAGCCACAACTCCAGTCCCTTTTGCTCTATTTTTGGAGATTGGATCTCACAAAGTATTTGCCCAGACTGGTCTTGAAGCATGAGCCTTCCTATCTCAGCCTCCCCAGTAGGTGGAATTACAAGTGTGAGCCCCCGTGCCATCTTGTCTTACTGGAATTTAAGACTGTCCTTGGTTAGTAATGAAGCTGTGTCTACATAGCATTCCAGAAAGCAATGGAATGGTGCTGAGAGGACACTATACTCATCCCATCTCTAGTTGTTAGACTGTGGAATAAGAGTGCTGATTGAGCTAGGTGCCAGTGGCTCATGTCTGTAAACCTAGCTACTCTGGAGGCTGAGATCGGGATTGAGGTTCAAAGCCTGCCCAGCCAAATAGTTTGTGAGACTTCATCTCCAAAAAAATAACCAGAGCAAAAATGAACTAGAGGTATGGCTCAAGGTATACTAAAGGTGTGGTTCAAGCAGCAAAACTGCCTTTTTGTTCAGAAACTTCTGTTGAAGTATAACATACATATGGGAGGCATACCATTTGTTATCACTATTTTTCTTTTATTTTTTATTTTTTGGCAGTACTTGGATTTGAATTTAGAGCCTTAACGCTTGCTACACAGGTGCTCTACCACTTGAGCCACTCTGCCATCAAGGCATATCTTTTGTGTACAAGCTGATTACAGATCACTAAGTGAACACATCCAGGTCAACTACTTGCAAGTTGCTTTAAATCCATCATTGTCAAGTTTACTTATTTAGAAATACTTTTCTTTGGATTTTAAATTGTGCTCCCTAACCTCATTTATTTTCATACTTTCTTGGGATTTATATTTGTGTACAGGTGTGTAATTTTTGAATTTTCTTAGATTTCTAGCCACTGTCTGTCATTAGCTGGATGCAATGAAGATTTTTTTTTTTTTTTGGTGGTACTGGGGCTTGAACTCAGGGCCTCCACCTTGAGCCACTCCACCAGCCCTATTTTTGTGAAGGGTTTTTCCAGATGGGGTCTCGAGAACTGTTTCCCCGGGCTGACTTTAAACTATGATCCTCCTGATTTCTGCCTCCTGAGTAGCTAGGATTACAGGCGTGAACCACCGGCACAATGAAGCTTTTTGAAAAGGGGTTTTGCCTATTTGGGGAACTGATACTGAACCTGAGAGGACAGTCATAATGGTGGCTGTGCTGGTTAGATTGAGGGAGAGGCAACAAGAGAGGGAGCAGAGAATGTACTGACTTGACTGTTCTTCCTTCCTGGGGACTCCCCTTTCAGAAGGTCTTTCTGTTTTTGAAGTACTGGTTTTGAGACAATTGTGGTTACAAGGAAGCCCTCCACTAGGGCTGTGTCCCTCTTGCCCAGTATCTATATGCTCCTGGTAGCCTGCATCTCTCAGAAATAGGGAATGGATCTGCAGTCCCACTTGTCTCTGACTGCCCCTGGACAAGTTCCATGTTTCCTTTCAATAGCTTTTTATTTTTCCCTTTTTTGTGGCTTGGCCCCTGCCCTTCTCCCTCCGCCCCCCAGCCACCTTCTTGCAGCAGAACTCTAGAACTCTTAGCTAGTTGCCACTACCAGTGCTGCAGCTATTCTCACTAAGCATTTTGATTGCTGAGTCGGCCACCCTTGAAAAAACACCTTAGTTTATATTTTGTCCTTTTAATTAAATAACCCCAGCTGTGAATGGCACCATAAATCTTGTTGATGATTATCCTTCCACTTTATTTGGTCTCTGCCAACTGTGAGAACAGAAAGATGATCAAAGGGAGGTTTTTGATGTTTGTTCTAGGTGCTTTGTTTTGTTTTGAAACAGGGTCTTACTATGTAGCCCAGTGAGGTTTTGTGTGTGTGTGTATGTGTGTTGTTTTTGGCAGTACTAGTGTTTGAACTTAGGGCCTAGTGGTTGCTAGCAGGCTCTACCACTTGAGTACCTTGTTTTTTTTCAGGCAGGGTCTTGCTATACTGTTACCCAGGCTGGCCTCAAACTTTTGATCCTCCTGCCTCATCCTCCCAGAGCTGGGATTTTAGGATTGTATCACCATTCCCAACAGTTTCAGGTTTTCTAACTAAGCCTCTAGGTAAACTTCTGTGAGAAATTTGAGGGCTAGGGGCATGGCTCAAGTGGTAGAGTGCCTGCCTAGCAAGCACAAGGCCCTGAGTTCAAACCCCAGTACTGCCCCCAAAAAGAAAAAAAGATATCTGGGACTACTTGTATTCCTGTGGAGATCTCTTGATTTTCTCTTTAACTGAAGTACCTAAAATATACAAAAATAAGAATAATGTATAGTCAACAAACCTATTTTCAACCCGAAAAAGATTAAGTAGAGGATACCTTCATCTATTTATTCCCTCTTCCACCAGTAACCACTTCTGAGTTTTGTGGTTATCATTTCCCACACACATGCCCTTAACTTTTACTACATTTGTTAATACCCCTTAATAAAATATAGTATTATTTTGCATGTTTTTAACTTTATGTAGCTGGTACAATGAAATATATAATATATTGTGATTGTTTATCTCATCATTAAATCTTTAATCATGCATATAGGGCTGGTGGAGTGACTTAAGCAGTGAGAGCACGTGCCTAGCAAGCATGAAGCCCTGAGTTCAAACCCCAATGCCACAAAAAAAAAAAAAATCATAAATTATGTGCATATAGTACATGCTTGTCACTTTGTCTCCTCTGAAATACTCTTAATAGTATGCAGCACTGGTTTTATATAGCAGGGCTATGCATTTGGGGTTTAGAAGATTTTCCATCTATATTCTGACCTGTGTTTGCTTATAAGTTGCTTACCATTTTTTCATTCTGGAACATACCCATGAACTTGTTGGGGCACATCAGGGGAAGGCAAGGAGTTTCCATCCCCATCCCACTGCATCTTCACTCTTCAACTCCTAGCCACACCTAGCTCTCTTCTTCCTTTTCTTCATCATGACCATTTCATACTTCCTATATAGAACTAAAAAAAAAAAAAAAAAAAAAACAAAAAAAACTTGCAACAGAAGAATGAGGGAAAAAAACCTAAGAGGATTATTCCACCTTGCTTGAACATACTTTGCTTTGCTGATGGAATTTTTGAGTCCTAAGACCACTGACAATAACTCTCCACAATGGCTAAGAACTGGCTTTGCCACTCAGTCATCCACTTAGCCATTCAACAGATCTTTATTGTTTGTCTACTGTGCTGGGTGTTAGGCATACATGGTGACCAAATAACTTGGTCTCTGCTCTTATGGAACTTGTAATCTAGTGAGAGAGTCAGGAATTAGTCAGATATATAAATAAATCAAAAAATTATAACTGTGAACAGTGCCGTAGAAGAATGTATAATAGGAAGGCACAAGATAAGAGAGTGTGCCTTCCTGAGGAAGCAATGAGAAGATGTCAAATGCAAAGATCTGGGAGAAGAAGGAGTATTGGTTGGCATATTCATGGTTCTGGAACTCAGAAAGTGGGAGGGGGGAGAGGGTGAGTGTAAAATGAGCATGGAATGAGAAAGCCAGACTAGGCAGGGCAATGTAGACCTTAGTAAGGACTTTTGTGTTTCATCCTAAAAGCCATTTGTTTCATGTATTTTGTCATCTTTTCCCCCAGTTTAAAAAGCAGAAACTACTCCTAGAACTGGACCAGTATGCTCCAGATGTGGCCGAACTCATTCGAACCCCTATGGAAATGCGATACATCCCTCTGAAAGTAGCCCTGTTGTAAGTATTCCCTGACAAATCAAGGCTCAGTGCCAACAAATGTGAGGAAAATCTGATGAGACTTTCCCATGTTGCTTGTTGTATTTTTGCAGTCTTAGTCATCAAGTATTTGCTGAGGGTCTGTTGCACAACGAGGGCTCTGGCCAGTAAAAGAGACAGACATTCTGTGTCTGGTGGACAAAGACTCACACAGGGACACCCACAGTCAAACCCTTCGCAAATGCTTTCTGACTTGTTTCTGATCTAGGCTCCAGCCTACTTGTAACCAGTGTTTCTAAAAACAAACATACAAAAAATAGTAGTTCTTCCATTATGATATATGGATTGAATAAAATTCTGTTCTTTATGTAGCTGTTGTTTCAAGCAGCTCCTATGTTTTATGTACAATTTAGTTCCCCATTTGTAACTCAGAAAACTGAAGTAAAATACCTGGAAACCCATCTTACCTATGACTAGCATGGAAGAGTAGAACTTATTGAGGCTTTATGAAAGAATTCTCTAGAAGTACCCAGTACTGCAGTAAGTTTAATTCTTTCAGGTTATCTGAGTTAGGCAAATGAGAATTACTCAGTTGACTAATGGTCGCTGAATATTTATAATATGCTAGTTTCTAGGGATACACAATAAATAAAATAAGTAAGGGAAAAACATGCCCTTAGAACTCTTAAGAATTAGAAGGGGTCCTATGAGGAGAGATTATTCAGCCCATTGCCCTTTGTGCGAATTTCCTATTCAGTGTTCCAGATAGGTGTCTGGGCAGCCTTCTTGAACATCACCTGCTGTTTAGAAATGGTTTGTTTTTCCTCCCATGAAACAGTTTTGGGTATCAGTTCACATCTATGTATTTAAAAAATATTGATGGGAACTACCTTAATTAAGACCAGAGGTTTAGCAGCATTATAAATTCTTATGGACTCATATGTCTCTTGGGGGTATTTTGTAATAGCAGCAACCATTGCTTTAAAGGTTGTGTAATAAACCTATCTGTAATTGCTAGAGAAAAAGCAAAAACAAAACAAAATTCCCAATAACAACAATTTCTAGGCCTTTTGCTTTAGAACTGCTAATCTTATAGTTCTGGAGGTATTGGATTTGAGGTCTTTATTTGTGAATAATAATTATGATATTTTCCTAAGACACTGGTATGTTCTTCCTTTCTGGTAATCAGAATTATGTAACTTAAGTACTTTGCCAGGAAACTCAGAGTCAGATTTGAAGCTGATTGTTATAATGCTATAGAAGACTCATTTGGTTTTCTTTCTTTTGCCATTACTTTCTCTTTTTATTTATTTATTTCTTGATCTTAATTATTGCTATTTTTACTTTACTACTAATTTCGTTATCTCTTCTCATTTTAGCTGTTGCATATACTTTGTAGAAGCAGGATAGAAATAAAAATAAAAATAATCCGTTATGCTGGGTGCAATGGCTCATGCCTGTAATCCCAGCTACTCAGGAGATGGAGATCTGAAGGACTGTGGTTTGGGCCAGCCCAGGCAAAAAGTTAGCAAGACCCCCATCTAAGTCAATAAATTGGGTGTGATGATGTACACCTGTGGTCCCAGCTACACGTGAGGCCCTAGGCAAGAGGCTGGTGGTCCAGGGCAGACCCTACCTAAAAAATTACTAAAGCAAGAAATGGGAGGGAGGCACAGCTAAGTGATAGAGTACCTACCTAGTAAGCACTAGCCCTGAGTTGGAACCCCAGACATTCCTGCCTTCCTTTAAAAAAAATCCATTATGACTATGTAAGATTTCCCAACTCACAAGCACTTCAGATTGACTTTCTCAGTCCATTCAAAACCTCAGGAAGACTAGGTGTTAACTTTTTCCCCAGTGGAAGGTTAAGATATTCTGTGAAGTTCCATGCCATCTGGCTTGTTTAATTCAGTGGATACTGCTTGAGTACCACAAAGGCTAAGTAGTATAAAGAATGCTGGCTATAGCCAGAAAGACCGGATTTTGAATGCTTATGAAACCTCGGGCAAGTTACTTAATCACTGAGTCTCGGTTTTCTCATCTGCAGAACAAAGGATATTATTGCTAGTTTATAGGATTTTATTGATGATTAAATGTGATGGTTTTGCATATACCACATAGCATAATGTGTAGTATCTTTTACTCGTTGGCCCCCAACTACCACTTTGTTCGGTTTTACTTTGGAAAATTTATTTCTAAGAAGTCGCCTTCTTTTGAGTATGTTTTTAATAAATCTCTGAACTTCCTGGCTGTGGAGGCCAGGACACTCAGGTTCACTGATCAGGATTTCTAATACCAAATATGTGTGTTCTTCCCCAGCTATCTCTTAAATCCTTACACGGTCTTATCTTGTGTTGCCAAGTCTACCTGCGCTATCAACAACACCCTCATTGCTTTCTTCATTTTGACCACCATAAAAGGTAAGACCCTGAAGGAGAGTTTTACATCCTTTGGTTACAACTGATTTTTATGTAGGGTTTTTATAACACTTAGACTATGGCTTTTTTTTTTTAAGTAACACTTAATGTTTTTTAAAATTATACAAGTAATACAAGATTATTATAGAAAATTAAGATAAAACAAAAGAAAAAAGTTAAGATATCCTGAAAATCTACTACTCAGAGAGTCACTGTTGACCTGTTTGTTTTTTTAAGTTCTAAAATATTTGTAATGAGAATATCAGTCTTCTTCCTCTCTCTTCCCAACCTGTAGGTTCAGCTTCTTTGAAGCAATTGCTTTTTGCTAATATTTACTTCTGTATTTCTGAATAATTATATTGATACTTAATGAACTATAAATTTTAGACATTATTATTACATTCCAATATGGTAAATAAAGATTTCTCATAGCTCTTTTGTACCAATATCCACACTTTCCCTTGGGCTGAATTTTCTTACAGCAGTTATATTACTTTTTTGATTAAATCAGTACTCAGGGCTAAGGTGTACCTCAGTGATAGAAATATACTCTACCACTCATGTACAAGGTCCTGGGTTCAATCTTCACCACCAAAAGAGAAGAAAAAAATCTGCAGTTAAAACCTGTACTTTATGACACTATATGTATTATTGCAAAGTAGAAACTGTGATTACTTTTTGTGTGATTACTTTTTCATTTTCTTTTTCCCTATGATTACTTTTATCTTATATAATTTTCTATTTTTCCTATGATTAATGATTATCTTTTAATGCTTAGTTTTTTATAGGTTTTTTTTTTTTGTACCAATTATTGTGTTTTTCCCCCATTTGCTCTATTAGTTCTGTCAAGAAGCTGACAGTTTTGTTTTAGAACACTTAAATACATCACTAGTCTGTCAATTCCATTGTTTTTCTGGAGTCCTCTCTCACACATCCTCTATCATGTCGCAGTCTGTCCTGGTTGTTATCTGGTCCTATGCAACTCTGTCACACTGGAACTTCCTTTCATAATTCTCCTATGCTATATCCCTTGTTTGTTGGATTTCTTCTTACCTTTATTGATATTTCTGCTGGGTGTTGCTGAATATTTCCTCTAGTAGTTTTCTAAGAAAGAATATATGAGATTGGTTTGATCCTGTGTTTGAAAAATATCTTCGTTCTAGTTCATACCAAATTAGGTAGTTGGGTGTGATAAGAATTTTAGACTGGAATAACTTTTTCTTCAGAATTTTGAAGGTATTGCTTTATTTATAGCATCTTCATTACTATTTGATGGCATTGTGTGTAACCCAGTTTTTCTTTCTGAAATAATTAGAATCTTTTCATCTTTGGTGTTTAGAAATTTTGTGATGTTCTGTCTTGACATGGGTCTTTTTCATTTCATTATGCTGGGTACTTGGTTGGCCCTTTCAGTGAGGAAAATAGTAGGCTTTAGTTCTAGAAGATGTTCGTGTTCTGTTTTTCAAATTGTTTCCACGGTGTTTCCTCTGTCCTCTGGTTTTGGACATCAGGGTCTCACTATGTAGCCAGTTCAGCCTGGAATTTTCGATGTAGCCCAGGATGGCCTGGGACTTGTGATCTTCTTCCCTGAGTCTCCTGGGTGCTGGGATTCTAGCAATGTATCACCATGCCTAGCATGAAAGCTGTACTTTTCTTGCTTGATCAAATATGCATATTTTATTTTTTGTTGATTTTTTTTTTTAACACACTCTTACTTTTCTTGGGATACTTCCTTGGGTTTTTTTTTTTTTTTGTATCATGTTTACATTTACTCACATGTGTATACATTGTTTGGGCTACCTCCCCTCACATCCCCCCTTGTTTTTTATCTTCCAGTTGTTGTACTGCATTTTTAATTCTAGTTATTGCATTTTAAGTTCTTTTTTGATCTCCATTTGTTTCTTTTAAACATCCTATATTTATTTTATCATGATAATATCATCTTATCTCTCTGAGTATATTTTTTTTAGTTTTCATCAGTTTTAAGCATAGTCTCTTTGTCTTCTTGGTCTTTTTGTTGGGGGTTCTTTCCTTCACATGGGAGGATTTTCTCTTATGTTTGGGGATCCTGCTGTCTGTGTATATTTAAGAGTGAGGCACTAACTTGTTGACTGGAGACTGTTCATGGGCAGGGATTTTTTTTTGTTGGGGGGAGCTGTACTGGGGTCTGAACTCATGGCTTCACATTTGTTGTGTAGGCGTTGTACCACTAGAGCCACTCTGCCATCCCTGTTTTGTGTTGGGCGTTTTTGAGGTAGGGTCTCATGAACTATTTGCCCTGGCTGGCTTTGAACCTCTATTGTCCTGATATCTGCCTCCCATGTAGGATTACAGGTGTGAGCCACCAGTGGCCGGCATGAGCAGCGTTTGTTGGTGAATCATTCTCGCTTTGGGCAGATTAGGCAGTGGGCTGCCCTTTTTTGTTGGAGACATCTGTAAATATCATCAACAGGTTTTATCTGAAGCTATTCTGTTTTTCTGGAGAGGAATCCTCTAGTTTACTGCCTAGGGGTAGCATATTTGGGGTTGGGGTGGAGTAGGGAGTACATTGATTGGCTGATGGAGCTATAATAGCAGGAACAAGATGACTAGTTTCAGTCTATAGACTTTCATGTTATCTTATTACTTTTCAGCTCACACTTCTCTTCAGCCCAGTACTATGTTTAGTATCTCCTAGACCTTTGCTTCTTTAGTTAAATTTATCCAGGCTGTGGTCTCCTGTGGGTGGAATTCAAAGCAGGGTGTGGTATACCAGAGTACCCTCCTGACTGACTGTATAGAAGTACTTACATGGGGTGAGTAAGACCTATGGTTCTCATTGGTTCATGTGTAAACTTCAACTTGAACTTTTTTTTTTTTTTGGTGCTGAAGTTTGAACCCTTGGCCTCGGCATGCTCCACACATCTGTCATCCTTCTGGACCACAGGACTAATTTAAGCATGTTCTTCTTGTAGCAATGGCAGGGATAATACTGAGCAAGCCCAATCAGGCATGCATTTTTTAAGTTTCTGGGTATATCAGATGTGCTAACATCCCTTTGATCAAAACATGGTACATGACTGAGCCCACAGTGGGAATTCACTATAAAGTTACATGGCAAAGGGTCTGGACATAGGGAGGGGTGGAGATTTGGGACCAGTAATATAGTCTACCATCTATGTCAATAAATATTTGGTCTCTTTTTGTTGTTATTGTTTTTAGAGACAAGGTGTTGCTAAACTGCTCAGGTTGGCCTAAAACTGATCCTCCTGCCTCAGCTTCCTGGCACACGCCACCACACTTGGTTCTAGTTTTGTTATTTAAATGGCTGTATACTATTCAATCCTATGGATGAGTGTATTGATATTTCCTTTTTTTGAGATGGGGTCTCTGTGTAGCCTTGGCTAACCTTGAACTTTTGATCCTCCTGCCTCAACCTCCCAAGTGCTGGGATTACAGGTGTACATCACCATGCCAGGCCAGGCTTAGAAATTCTTTAATCAACTTACACCATTAAATATTTAGGTGATTTTCTGGCTTTCCACTGCTTAAATAATACTACAATTAACTTTCTTTAGAATCCTATTTCCATACACCTTTTTTTTTTTCTTTTTGGCTGTACTAGAGATGAACTCAGGTTCTTGCTCTTGTTAGGCAGGCACCCTACCACTTGAGCCATTCACTAGCCCTCTATATACTTACACTGAATAGTTTGAACGCTCAGTAAATAGAGTCTACAGTTGTGCTTTGATAGGGCTGGCTGAGTGGCTCAAATAATAGAGCACCTGACTAGCAAGTATGAGGCCCTAAGTTCAAACCCCAGTATCACCAAAAAAAAAAAAAAAAGCTATGTGTAGAACCTTTTACTTTCAGTGTAATTACCTTTTATAAGGTGGCACATGGGAAAGACTTAAGTCTTAATAAGACACTGTTTTCTTTTTTGACACTGTATTTTTTAAATTCCTTATGGGTGGCCTTTCTATAAGTCCTTTAGTTTAAATTATTAGGTCACGTAAAAGGATTAGATATTGCATAACTTGAATTGTCTTGTTTTCAAAGTTGTGGTCATTTTGTCAGAAACAACTCTGAATAGTGAAGATGCTTTGCTGTCTGTGAATACTCCCTGCCTCAATCCCTGTCTTCAGAATGTCAGACTCAGAAAGCTTATCATTTATCAAGGTGACTGGTATCCATTAAAGGAAGGAATATATGCAATATATGCTGCAGTCTATGTAGTCTCAGAAGGGATTTGCCTTTGAAAATGTCACTGTTAGATTTTTTTTTTTTTTTAAATTCTTGCTCTGTTGACCAGGCTGGCCTTGAACTCTTGGGCTCAAAAGGGACCCTCCTGACTCCATTTCCCAAGTAGCTAGGATAACAGGTATGTGTCATCATGTTCAGCATGGGAAATGTCAATTTTTTTTGTAAGTAGCGGAGTACAAAGATGGACGAAAAACTGTGGCGTGCCACTTTTTAAAAAAATACATTTTTTAGCTTTTAAGTCAATAGAAAAGTTTTATTTTGGGTAAAAATATGTGAATAAATTACATGGATCTCTTTCAAAGCCACATTATTTCTGGTTACAGAGAACAAATTTTAAAAATTATATAGATATTCCAGATTTCTGTTGAATGAATTCATAGACACTTTTGCAATGTTATATACATAACTTTGTTTTACTTTTAACACGTATTTCATACAAATCATGTTTGATATTGGTCACGTATTTGACCACATATTGGTCACATTTTCTTAAAACTTAATAAAAAAATTTTAGAAGCAGTTCAAACTCTTGGTAAGAATAAAAGAAATTCAAACATATCAAATGAAAATCTGCTCTACTTCTGCCTCCATGTCTCATGTATGTTTCTCCTAAAGTCCCAGCTCTTTCCTTTTGCTGGACATTTAAGTTGTTTTCCATTGTTGGCTACTATAAATAGAGACTATCACAGACAGCATTCCTAATCTATTAAAATATTTGAAGAGTTCTATTTTAGCTGGATCTCTGAACCATTTTGACTCTT